CTGTATACACAGTGCATTCGGAAATAATATACATATTATTCTGACATTACTTGTTCTGATATGTCTTCATTTTTTTTTTTTTTTACTTGTGTATTATGTGTGTATTGTTATCGTATTGCTAGATATTGCTGCACTGTTGGAGCTGGAAACATAAGCATTTCGCTGCTCCTGCGATAACATCTGCAAACCTGTGTCCACGACCAATAAACTCTGATTTGATTTTACATTCAGTATGAGTTGGTCATTGTGACTAGCTTTGCACTTGGCTAGCTAACAGTAGCTGCTAGGGGTAAGTCATAACCTACATATGTATTTAGATTGTAGTTAGGTATTGTTGGTAGTTATCGTGGGTTGTTGTATGTAATTATTGTAGGTTAGTATTGTATTCGGCGGCGCCGGGCGTAGCACGAAGCTAGCTGGCTAACCCTCCACCTGGACTAGCTGGCGAGTAGCAATTAGCAACGGTATAGTTATTTCACGCCTGGGAGTGCCTGTGGTTACGCCAGCTGGCTGCCTACAATGATTACATACAATAATTGCCTACCATTCAGCTGTTTTCTAACCTTATGTCTGAACCGTTAACGTTAGGTAGCAAGTGGCTACTGTGCTTGAAATTTAGCTAGCTTGTTGCTACCTGGATAGCTACTAGTAAACAATAGCTGGAACGACCTAGCGAACAGACGCGAACTGGCTGAGTCAATTCAGTGGCTAGCTTTGCACTTGGCTAGCTAACAGTAGCTACTAGGGGTAAGTCATAACCTACATTTGTGTTTTGTTTTTTACATATTGATAGCCCGAGTCGTTCAGGGAATTCGGGACATGGGTGACTAGTTAACGTTAGTTTGGCTCTCTGTGTTTTCGTGCCGTTCGTGCTGCGCCTAGTTAGCTAGCTGAGTTAGTCTATTCATAGAAACATTGAACCGCTGTAGTTTACAACAATTATAGTTTCTGAGGTGGAAGTTGGGAGAGTTATATTTGGGAGTTGTGGTGAGGGAGGCCCGCTCTCTCCTTTCCCAGATGTTTAGTTCATTTCATTCCGATCTCCTCTGCATTATTGTTGCCATTTGCTGCAGCCTGTCAACTATGCCTCTGCCTATCCCTGTTCTCTCCTCTCCGCACAGGCTACACAAACGCCTCACACCGCGTGGCTGCTGCCTCTCTAACCTGGTGGTCCCTGCACGCACCACTCACCTGGAGTTCCAGGTCTCAGGCAGCCTCTGGAACTGCCGTTCTGCTGCCAACAAGGCAGACTTCATCCCAGCCTATGCTACCCTCCAATCCCTCGACTTCTTGGCGCTGACGGAAACATGGATTACCACTGAAAACACTGCTACTCCTACTGCTCTCTCCTCGTCTGACCATGTGTTCTCGCATACCCCGAGAGCATCTGGTCAGCGGGGTGGTGGCACAGGAATCCTCATATCTCCCAAGTGGACATTCTCAATTTTTCCCCTAACCCATCTGTCTATCTCCTCATTTGAATTCCATGCTGTCACAGTCACTAGCCCATTTAAGCTTAATATCCTTGTCATCTATCGCCCTCCAGGTTCCCTTGGAGAGTTCATCAACGAGCTTGACGCCTTGATAAGCTCCTTTCCTGAGGATGGCTCACCCCTCACAGTTTTGGGGGATTTCAACCTCCCTACGTCTACATTTGACTCATTTCTCTCTGCCTCCTTCTTTCCACTCCTCTCCTCTTTTGACCTCACCCTCTCACCGTCCCCCCCTACTCACAAGGCAGGCAATACGCTTGACCTCATCTTTACTAGATGTTGCTCTTCTACTAATCTCACTGCAACTCCCCTCCATGTCTCCGACCACTACTTTGTATCCTTTTCTCTCTCGCTCTCCTCCAACACTACTCACTCTGCCCCTACACAGATGGTAATGCGCCGCCGCAACCTTCGCTCTCTCTCTCCCACTACTCTCTCCTCTTCCATCCTATCATCTCTTCCCTCTGCTCAATCCTTCTCCCTCCAATCTCCTGATTCTGTCTCCTCAACCCTCCTCTCCTCCCTTTCTGCATCCTTTGACTCTCTGTGTCCCCTATCCTCCCGGCCGGCTCGGTCCTCCCCTCCAGCTCCGTGGCTTGATGACTCATTGCGAGCTCACAGAACAGAGCTCCGGGCAGCGGAGCGGAAATGGAAGAAAACTAAACTCCCTGCCGACCTGGCATCTTTTCACTCCCTCCTCTCTACATTTTCTTCATCTGTTTCTGCTGCTAAGGCCACTTTCTACCACTCTAAATTCCAAGCATCTGCCTCTAACCCTAGGAAGCTCTTTGCCACATTCTCCTCCCTGCTGAATCCTCCTCCACCCCCCCCCCCCCCCCCCCCCCCTCTCTGTGGATGACTTCGTCAACCACTTTGAAAAGAAGGTTGACGACATCCGATCCTCGTTTGTTAAGTCTAATGACACTGCTGGTCCTGCTCACACTGCCCTACCCTATGCTTTGACTTCTTTCTCCCCTCTCTCTCCAGATAAAATCTTGCGACTTGTGACTGCAGGCCGCCCAACAACCTGCCCGCTTGACCCCATCCCCTCCTCTCTTCTCCAGACCATCTCCGGTGACCTTCTCCCCTACCTCACCTCGCTGATCAACTCATCCTTGACCGCTGGCCATGTCCCTTCAGTCTTCAAGAGAGCGAGAGTTGCACCCCTTCTCAAAAAACCAACACTCGATCCCACTGATGTCAACAACTACAGACCAGTATCCCTTCTTTCTTTTCTTTCCAAAACTATTGAGCGTGCCGTCTTTAGCCAACTCTCTTGCTATCTCTCTCAGAATGACCTTCTTGATCCAAACCAGTCAGGTTTCAGGACTGGTCATTCAACTGAGACTGCTCTTCTCTGTGTCACGGAGGCTCTCCGCACTGCTAAAGCTCACTCTCTCTCCTCTGCTCTTGTCCTTCTAGACCTGTCTGCTGCCTTTGATACTGTGAACCATCAGATCCTCCTCTCCACCCTCTCCGAGCTGGGCATCTCCGGCGCGGCTCACTCCTGGATTGCGTCCTACCTGACCGGTCGCTCCTACCAAGTGGCGTGGCGAGAAGCTGTCTCCGCACCACGTGCTCTCACCACTGGTGTCCCCCAGGGCTCAGTTCTAGGCCCTCTCCTATTCTCCCTATACACCAAGTCACTTGGCTCTGTCATATCCTCACATGGCCTCTCCTATCATTGCTACGCTGACGATACACAACTAATCTTCTCCTTTCCCCCTTCTGATAACCAGGTGGCGAATCGCATCTCTGCATGTCTGGCAGACATATCAGTATGGATGACGGATCACCACCTCAAGCTGAACCTTGGCAAGACGGAGCTGCTCTTCCTCCCGGGGAAGGACTGCCCGTTCCATGATCTCGCCATCACGGTTGACAACTCCGTTGTGTCCTCCTCCCAGAGTGCGAAGAGCCTTGGCGTGACCCTGGACAACACCCTGTCGTTCTCCGCTAACATCAAGGCGGTGACCCGATCCTGCAGGTTCATGCTCTACAACATTCGGAGAGTACGACCCTGCCTTACACAGGAAGCGGCACAGGTCCTAATCCAGGCACTTGTCATCTCCCGTCTGGATTACTGCAACTCGCTGTTGGCTGGGCTCCCTGCCTGTGCCATTAAACCCCTACAACTCATCCAGAATGCCGCAGCCCGTCTGGTGTTCAACCTTCCCAAGTTCTCTCACGTCACCCCGCTCCTCCGCACACTCCACTGGCTTCCAGTTGAAGCTCGCATCTGTTACAAGACCATGGTGCTTGCCTATGGAGCTGTGAGGGGAACGGCACCTCCGTACCTTCAGGCTCTGAAGCTGGTTAGGAGAATTAACGTACCAGGTTAGGAGAATTAACGTAGCAGGTTAGGAGAATTTACGTAGCAGGTTAGGAGAATCAATGTAGCAGGTTAGGAGAATTAACATAGCAGGTTAGGAGAATTAACGTAGCAGGTTAGGAGAATTAACGTAGCAGGTTAAGGTTACTACAAGCTTCACTCCGTTGATCTACGTGTGCGCATGGGTGGAGTTGAATTTTTGGAGCAGCGGACACGTTTTGGTAACATGATATCCTCACTATTCACACGGGGGCAATAGCAAAGTGTTTTTATTTTTGTAATTTAATTTTTTGTGAAAGCAAGTAAGAGTCGCCTTACTTGCTAGTTGTAGCTAGCTGGCACCCTGGCTAGCTGGCTTTAGCCTAGCTAAAAATATAGCAAGCTAGCTAGCCTTTTTAGCTTCCCACTTCTCCATGTGAAATAATCAGATTTATAATGACAAAATATGCCCAGGTAAATATTCGTATAATTTCCGGTGTAACCTAAAACATTATCCCAGTTTGATATGCTGCCTGTGTATTAATTCCCCTATCAACAAAAAATAGAACGTCATCATGTTTTGGTCACAGAGAAAAAAGCATGTGTCTAGTTAGCTGGCTACAGCAAGTTCTACCATTTCACAATAGCCTGGAATCACTAGTTATTACTTCTAAACAAAATACCTTTTTGGGGTGGATTCTTGTTGTTTGGTTTACTGTTTGAACAGTTGCTGACATTATATTTGGTTATCAATGCAAAATAGGCTACTTTGATGAATAGCCTATATAACCTATAGATCATATCAAGGAACCAAGCGACAACACTGCCCCCACGGCTGCAGAAGGAATGATACGGCGCGTCTCAATTTGAAGGAAGTAAAAAAAATATGTTGAATGCCAGAGCGTATCACAAGGAGACTGCCCTTTTGTGATGAAAAACAACGTTGCAACTCTGCATCTTGTGCCACCGTAGACCGCGTAGTAAAGCTTTAGGAGAATCAGGTTAAGGTTAGGAAAAGGGTTAGGGTTAGCTAAAATGCGAAAATCGTCCCTGATGCGACTCGAACGTATCTATCCACAACCAGGCCTGACCCTTAGAACAGCCTTCGTTTCCAATAACGCGATTATGCGTGCGTGACAGCATATCCCAGTTGCGTACTACTCACAATTGAAAGAGGAATTGGACTCCCTGGACCGGCTGAAGTCATCCCCGTAGAGAGCAGTCATGCTGGGCTGGCTGGTGCGGCGGCCTGGGTACGGTGGAGGCAGAGAGCCAGAGCCCATCCCTGACCCTGCGGCTGCTGCAGCCATCCTCTCCTTGGTCTTCAGGGCCAGGGTCCTCTCCTAGAGAAATAGATAGCTAGGTATTTAGATAGGTATTTTATTCATCACTGATGGGGACATTAAGGACCAGTTTCCTGGACACAGATTAAGCCTAGTCCGGGACAAAAAAAAAACAGATCAATGGAGAATCTCCACGTGTTTAAGTCTAGGACTAGGCTTAATCTGTGTCTGGGAAACCACCCCTTCGTGTCAAACAGAAGTACAGGACTAGGCTTAATCTGTGTCTGGGAAACCACCCCTTCATGTCAAACAGAAGTGCAGGACTAGGCTTAATCTATGTCTGGGAAACCACCCCTTCATATCAAACAGAAGTCTAGGACTAGGCTTAATCTGTGTCTGGGAAACCACCCCTTCATGTCAAACAGAAGTCTAGGACTAGACTTAATCTATGTCTGGGAAACCACCCCTTCATGTCAAACAGAAGTCTCAGACTAGGCTTAATCTGTGTCTGGGAAACCACCCCTTCATGTCAAACAGAAGTCTAGGACTAGACTTAATCTATGTCTGGGAAACCACCCCTTCATGTCAAACAGAAGCAGACATACAAACAACAAAACCAAACAAACTGGTGCCATGTCATACCTGCTTCAGCCTCTCCTCATCCCTCATCAGGGCCACCATCTGCTTGGCCTTCTCCCTAACGTTGACCCCCTGGTCCCTGCCATCTCTGTCTGTGAACTGGAAGTCCCGTAGGGTCTAGAGAGGAAGACGAGGAAGAGGAGGAAGAGGAAGAAGATATTATTTATTATACTTTTTTTGCAGATTAGTTTTTTTGGTTTCAACCCAACCCCCGGAGAAAGAAACCCTTCAGAAGCCAGCTCAGTGCACTCCAAAGTCATTTCTCCCGACAGACTCGGGATTCGAACCGTCGATCTAACCTGTATGGTGTAGACGTTCTCCCTGCACTGCTGCGCCACGCGTTCCGAGCCCGTTTTGATCAGGTAGTCGAGTAGCGTCAGGGCCTAGTAATAAAATAATAATACACTTCTCTTATACACATTTCAAACAGACACCGCTCAAATCTAACAGTAGATAAAAAGACAAAGACAAAAAACAGACACCGCTCAAATCTAACAGCAAATAAAAAGACAGAGACAAAAAAACAGACACCGCTCAAATCTAACAGTAAATAAAAAGACAAAGACAAAAAAATAGACACCGCTCAAATCTAACAGTAGATAAAAAGACAAAGCCAAAAAACAGACACCGCTCAAATCTAACAGTAAATAAAAAGACAAAAAAACAGACACCGCTCAAATCTAACAGTAGATAAAGACAAAGCCAAAAAAAACAGACACCGCTCAAATCTAACAGTAAATAAAAAGACAAAGCCAAAAAAACAGACACCGCTCAAATCTAACAGTAGATAAAAAGACAAAGCCAAAAAAACAGATACCGCTCAAATCTAACAGTAGATAAAAAGACAAAGCCAAAAAACAGACACCGCTCAAATCTAACAGCAGATAAAAAGACAAAGCCAAAAAACAGACACCGCTCAAATCTAACAGTAGATAAAAAGACAAAGCCAAAAAACAGACACCGCTCAAATCTAACAGTAGATAAAAAGACAAAGACAAAAAAATAGACACCGCTCAAATCTAACAGTAAATAAAAAGACAAAGACAAAAAAACAGACACCGCTCAAATCTAACAGTAAATAAAAAGACAAAGACAAAAAAACAGACACCGCTCAAATCTAACAGTAAATAAAAAGACAAAGACAAAAAAACAGACACCGCTCAAATCTAACAGTAAATAAAAAGACAAAGACAAAAAAACAGACACCTCTCATCTAACAGTAAATAAAAAGACAAAGCCAAAAAAACAGACACCGCTCAAATCTAACAGTAAATAAAAAGACAAAGACAAAAAAACAGACACCGCTCAAATCTAACAGTAAATAAAAAGACAAAAAAACAGACACCGCTCAAATCTAACAGTAGATAAAGACAAAGCCAAAAAAAACAGACACCGCTCAAATCTAACAGTAAATAAAAAGACAAAGACAAAAAAACAGACACCTCTCAAATCTAACAGTAAATAAAAAGACAAAGCCAAAAAAACAGACACCGCTCAAATCTAACAGTAGATAAAAAGACAAAGACAAAAAAACAGACACCGCTCAAATCTAACAGTAAATAAAAAGACAAAGACAAAAAAATAGACACCGCTCAAATCTAACAGTAAATAAAAAGACAAAGACAAAAAAACAGACACCTCTCAAATCTAACAGTAAATAAAAAGACAAAGACAAAAAAACAGACACCGCTCAAATCTAACAGTAAATAAAAAGACAGACAAAAAAACAGACACCGCTCAAATCTAACAGTAAATAAAAAGACAAAGACAAAAAAACAGACACCTCTCAAATCTAACAGTAAATAAAAAGACAAAGACAAAAAACAGACACCGCTCAAATCTAACAGTAGATAAAAAGACAAAGCCAAAAAAACAGACACCGCTCAAATCTAACAGTAGATAAAAAGACAAAGCCAAAAAACAGACACCGCTCAAATCTAACAGTAAATAAAAAGACAAAGACAAAAAAACAGACACCCCTCAAATCTAACAGTAAATAAAAAGACAAAAAAACAGACACCTCTCAAATCTAACAGTAAATAAAAAGACAAAGACAAAAAACAGACACCGCTCAAATCTAACAGTAGATAAAAAGACAAAGACAAAAAAACAGACACCGCTCAAATCTAACAGTAGATAAAAAGACAAAGACAAAAAAACAGACACCCCTCAAATCTAACAGTAAATAAAAAGACAAAAAAACAGACACCTCTCAAATCTAACAGTAAATAAAAAGACAAAGACAAAAAACAGACACCGCTCAAATCTAACAGTAGATAAAAAGACAAAGCCAAAAAAACAGACACCGCTCAAATCTAACAGTAGATAAAAAGACAAAGACAAAAAAATAGACACCGCTCAAATCTAACAGTAAATAAAAAGACAAAGACAAAAAAACAGACACCTCTCAAATCTAACAGTAAATAAAAAGACAAAGACAAAAAAACAGACACCGCTCAAATCTAACAGTAAATAAAAAGACAAAGACAAAAAACAGACACCGCTCAAATCTAACAGTAGATAAAAAGACAAAGACAAAAAACAGACACCGTTCAAATCTAACAGTAGATAAAAAGACAAAGACAAAAAACAGACACCGCTCAAATCTAACAGTAGATAAAAAGACAAAGACAAAAAAACAGACACCGCTCAAATCTAACAGTAAATAAAAAGACAAAGACAAAAAAACAGACACCGCTCAAATCTAACAGTAAATAAAAAGACAAAGACAAAAAAACAGACACCGCTCAAATCTAACAGTAGATAAAAAGACAAAGCAAAGCGTTAAACAATAAAAGCAGAATGATGATTAAAATGTTTACAAAATACACAGGAACAGGATATTTGAATGAAGGAACACTAACAATTGTATATAGTAAATATCATAGAGAAAACAGTTAGTTTCCGAAGCCAGGAAAAACAGGTGAATGTTGACCTTGTAGACGTGTCTCCAGTTCTTCCCGCTGTCATTGAGGCGTTTCCAGATCATGCCCATGACCTCAGTGAACGCAACCACGTTGAAGGTCAGGTCAGCGATCTCTGACATCAGAGAGGAGGGGGGACCCCACGGGTCATTGGAGGTCGCCTCGCGGACCTTAAAATAATAATATTAATACATATTTAGTTTGATAAAATATAATTCAGGCTGATCTCATTTTGTCAGCTATGCGCCATTTAAAAAGTAATTTCCGAATGAGCCCGCCATATGCATCGTTCACTGTGAATGCAGTCTCCGCAAACATTGCTTTTAAAAGCACCAACAAAAGCACGATCGATTTGAATCCCGGCCTAAGATCAATTATAAAGTAGAATATATAAGAATGATATATGATGGCGCGTTTCTCAGACCCAAAGAAGCTTTACAATATATACAGGTAACCATAAACATGTTAAACAGCAAAAAACAATGAGCACAACAACAAACCTTGATCTCTGCCTCTGAGTATTGGTTGACCATGTTCTTCACCTGGCGGCGGAGCGATGACGTCTGCATGGTGATTGGTCGGTGTTTCACAGGTGTTAAGAAGTGGGTAATGGAATCAAACAGTGGGCCCGCCCACTAGCGTTCTTCTCACAGGTAGAGTTAAGGAGGGATGGAGGAGGGAGGTGGGGGGGGGGGGGGGAGAAGGAGGAGGTCAGAAGAGTTAAGGAGGGATGCAGGAGGGAGGTAGGGGGGAGAGGAGGAGGAGGTCAGTAGAGTTAAGGAGGGATGCAGGAGAGAGGTAGGGGGGAGGAGGAGGTCAGTAGAGTTCAGGAGGGATGCAGGAGGTAGGTAGGGGAGGAGGAGGAGGAGGTCAGTAGAGTTAAGGAGGGATGCAGGAGGGAGGTAGGGGGGAGAGGAGGAGGAGGTCAGTAGAGTTAAGGAGGGATGCAGGAGGGAGGTGGGGGGGAGGAGGAGGAGGTCAGTAGAGTTAAGGTGGGGATGAGATGAGATGTGGACCTCTACGCCCAGGGTGTGTGTTCCTAGTGAGGAAGAGAACATCACAGTTAGACTGACATACAGATGCACACTGTAATATCAGTGACCAGTAGACCAGGGTAGTGTCCCAAATTGCACCCTATTCCATATATAGTGCACTACTTTGATCAGTGATGATCAGTGATGACACCAACTGAATGAACTTTTAAAATGTTGCATTCATAAGGCAGGTATACAAATAACCATGACCTTTGACTCACTCTGATAAACAACAGAGCATCATATACTGATACCTCTGGGTTAACAGAGCACCATATACTGATACCTCTGGGTTAACAGAGAACCATATACTGATACCTCTGGGTTAACAGAGCACCATATACTGATACCTCTGGGTTAACAGCGCACCATATACTGATACCTCTGGGTTAATAGAGCACCATATACTGATACCTCTGGGTTAACAGAGCACCATATACTGATACCACTGGGTTAACAGAGCAACATATACTGATACCTCTGGGTTAACAGAGAACCATATACTGATACCTCTGGGTTAACAGAGCACCATATACTGATACCTCTGGGTAAACAGAGCACCATATACTGATACCTCTGGGTAAACAGAGCACCATATACTGATACCTCTGGGTTAACAGAGCACCATATACTGATACCTCTGGGTTAACAGAGCACCATATACTGATACCTCTGGGTTAACAGAGCACCATATACTGATACCTCTGGGTTAACAGAGCACCATATACTGATACATCTGGGTTAACAGAGCACCATATACTGATACCTCTGGGTTAACAGAGGACCATCTACTGATACCTCTGGGTTAACAGAGGACCATATACTGATACCTCTGGGTTAACAGAGCACCATATACTGATACCTCTGGGTTAACCGAGTACCTTATACCGATACCTCTGGGTTAACCGAGTACCATATACTGATACCTCTGGGTTAACAGAGCACCATATACTGATACCTCTGGGTTAACAGAGCACCATATACTGATACCTCTGGGTTAACAGAGCACCATATACTGATACCTCTGGGTTAACAGAGCACCATATAATGTAGGGGTGTAACGATTCGTTTTAACAACGATTCGATTTGTATCACGATTCGTGGTTGTCGATACGATTCAAGGACGATATTGGTTCATTTAGAACGATACGATCCGAAACGATTCAGTGACTTGAAATCGATTCAGTAACCTTTTAGCCAAAAATTCAACCAGTGTGACTGAAATAAATACCTGGATACTGGACAGTGCAGGTGAAGTTTCCTAGATTCCTGTTTCTTGTAAGGACCGCAATGGTGGCTTGATAATTTCTCGCTCGTCGGCTTCTCCGCTGTCGTCCGCCATGCTATGTTTTGTTGTCTTGGCGCCTTTGCGCTGCTGCTGGCGCGATGACGTCACGGATAGGCAGACTGAATCGAGTAATGTTTAAAGCCTTTATCATTAAAAGTGCTAAGAAAAAACATCCATATAAAGTCTGACGTGCTTAAATCCAATGGGTTATTTCCTAGTATCGATACAATCGATTTATTACATTTTAAAACGATGTTAGATCGATATATGTTGTCCAAAAGGCCAACTCGCCAAGCACAGATCGATGTAGTTGGATCATAGGAATATAAATCGATACATCGATGTAGTAGATGGATCGTTACACCCCTAATATAATGATACCTCTGGGTTAACAGAGCACCATATACTGATACTTCTGGGTTAACAGAGAACCATATACTGATACCTCTGGGTTAACAGAGCACCATATACTGATACCTCTGGGTTAACAGAGCACCATATACTGTAGATAGTACTTATCTCTAAATCAGATCATACTGATACCTCTGGGTTAACAGAGCAACATATACTGATACCTCTGGGTAAACAGAGCACCATATACTGATACCTCTGGGTTAACAGAGCACCATATACTGATACCTCTGGGTTAACAGAGCACCATATACTGATACCTATGGGTTAACAGAGAAACATATACTGATACCTCTGGGTTAACAGAGCACCATATAATGATACCTCTGGGTTAACAGAGTACCATATACTGATACTTATGGGTTAACAGAACCATATACTGATACCTCTGGGTTAACAGAGCACCATATACTGATACCTCTGGGTTAACAGAGCACCATATACTGATACCTCTGGGTTAACAGAGTACCATATACTGATACCTCTGGGTTAACCAAGCACCATATACTGTAGATAGACATGTTTAGGTGATTTAGAGATAAGTACTATCTTAATCCATGTCTCTTTAAAAAAAAAAACACGACCCCTCATCCCATTCATGTTATTACAGTAGAAGGAAACACCCCATTCATGTTATTACAGTAGAAGGAAACACCCCATTCATGTTATTACAGTAGGAGGAAACACCCCATTCATGTTATTACAGTAGGAGGAAAACACCCCATTCAAGTTATTACAGTAGGAGGAAACACCCCATTCATGTTATTACAGTAGGAGGAAACACCCCATTCATGTTATTACAGTAGGAGGAAAACACCCCATTCATGTTATTACAGTAGGAGTTAACACCCCATTCATGTTATTACAGTAGGAGGAAAACACCCCATTCATGTTATTACAGTAGGAGGAAACACCCCATTCATGTTATTACAGTAGGAGGAAACACCCCATTCATGTTATTACAGTAGGAGTTAACACCCAATTCATGTTATTACAGTAGGAGGAAAACACCCCATTCATGTTATTACAGTAGGAGGAAACACCCCATTCATGTTATTACAGTAGGAGGAAACACCCCATTCATGTTATTACAGTAGGAGTTAACACCCCATTCATGTTATTACAGTAGGAGAAAACACCCCATTCATGTTATTACAGTAGGAGGAAACACCCCATTCATGTTATTACAGTAGAAGGAAACACCCCATTCATGTTATTACAGTAGGAGGAAACACCCCATTCATGTTATTACAGTAGGAGGAAACACCCCATTCATGTTATTACAGTAGGAGGAAAACACCCCATTCATGTTATTACAGTAGGATGAAACACCCCATTCATGTTATTACAGTAGGATGAAACACCCCATTCATGTTATTAGAGTAGGAGTAAAACACCCCATTCATGTTATTACAGTAGGAGGAAACACCCCATTCATGTTATTAGAGTAGGAGTAAAACACCCCATTCATGTTATTAGAGTAGGAGGAAACACCCCATTCATGTTATTAGAGTAGGAGGAAACACCCCATTCATGTTATTACAGTAGCAGGAAAGCAGAACAACTGATCCCAGCACCTCCCAGACCTGTATAGTGAAACACAACACCTGGGCTCAGTTTTCTCTGAAAAGAGAGAGCGAGAGAGAGAGAGAGCGAGAGAGAAAGAGAGACATGGTGGCACCTGACCACACACAGAGAGCTGACTATAGACGCTCTTCCCTCCCACTCTGTCCAGTCAGCCATTTCAGAATCATGAAGGACAAAAGGACGTTTATTTTTTTACAGGAATACAAATATTAGTTTTGAGGAGGGGGACTAAACCGCAAGGACATAGCCCTTTGACCAAAGCCTATAAGGGGATATATAGGGGGTAGGGTGCAATTTGGGACGCATACCTAGAAAATAAAATCCTGTACACTGCCATTGCCAGTATCACTTGTTTGTTAAGCTTACGGCCTTTGTCAAAGCTTTTGCTTTCATTCCAAATTGCACCCTATTCCCTATATAGTGCACTACTTTTGACCAGAAGGAAACAGGTTGCCATTTGGGATGAATCATAGGCACTTTCTCCTTTGAAAGTTGTGTTATCACAACAGACAGGGAGGAACCCACCCCCTGCTTGTTTTTCTGACAGGATTCCATCATCACCCTAAGGTGAGAGTTACCAAACAGCTATGGACAAACCTGTTACACTACTGTAATAGGAAATGGCTATGGACAAACCTGTTACACTACTGTAATAGGAAAGCATAGGGCTCACCTGTATGCACACTCCAACACATCCCTGTCCCAGACCTGACGAAGATCCTTATAGGATAGAAACATTGTGAACTTATAAACATACATGTTGGAGCAATTCAATTGGAGCAATTCAATTGAGCGGGGGCTACTTTACTAGTACAAGATTGTTTCAGCCCAGCAGCACCCCATGAACAGTGATGTGACTTTAACTACATACACTCTGGTAAAAAATGTGGCACTCTCTTCTGTGTCCAGTCTTTTAGAAGAAACAATGGGTATAGAATAATACAACAACAGAACAGCCATGGTATGGACTACAACAACCTACTTAACGTTACCACCATGCTGCTTGGGCCCTGAGTCATCCCAGACACCACTACAACAACCTACTTAACGTTACCACCATGCTGCCAGGGCCCTGAGTCAGCCCAGACACCACTACACCAAACTACTTAATGTTACCACCATGCTGCAGGGCCCCGAGTCAGCCCAGACACCACTACACCAAACTACTTAATGTTACCACCATGCTGCCAGGGCCCCGAGTCACCCCAGACACCAAACTACTTAATGTTACCACCATGCTGCCAGGGCC